TAGCACAGGCAGTACTGCCTGAGAGCTAAGGTCGGCCTTAACGTTGCTAAAGAATTGCTAACAGAAGTATACAGACGCAGGACTTCCCAGAGAAGAACACGGAAGGCGACTGGCCCACAAAGCTGAAGTCAGTTACTGTCCGGGACAGAAAAACCCTGGCCCCTGAGCCCTGCCTGACAAGTGGTATTTCTCTGAAGCTGTGTTTCCAGTTCCAGAAAGGTTATCTTCAAGTTAGATTTTGGGGTGGCACATGCTTCTAAGTCAGAGACTATGTATATTTTGAAAGGATATGTATACTTCCAGTCCAGCTCCCTGCTAATGTGTCTAGGAAAGCAATGGAAGATGGCCCAAGTGCTTGGGCCCCTGCACCCTTGTGGAAGCCTGGAAGAAGCTCCTGGCTCCTGGCTTCAGATCGACCCAGCTCTGGCCATTGCAGCCATGGGAGTGAACGGGCAGATGGAAGCTCACACTCGCTTGCTGTCTCTCCCTCCCTCCCTCTCTCCCACTCTCCATAACTGTCTTTCAAATAAAGAAATCTTAAACAAAAAACAAAAAAGATTGACCCTGTCCTCCCCACCCCCACCACCACTTTGTAAATGAAGCAGCAAGCACATTTGCAACTCGGGTACTCTTCAGGAAATAGAAATTCACTTTTTTTTTTTTTTTTTTAAAGATTGATTGATTTATTTGAAAGAGAGAGAGCGAGTTTCCATCCACTGGATGGAAATGGCCACAATGGCTGGGGCTGGGCCAGGCTGAAGCCAAGAGCCAGGTGCCTTATCCAGGTCCTACATGGGTGTTGCTTCTGCTTTCCCAGGTGCATGAGCAGGGAGCTAGACTGGAGGTGGAGTGGCTGGGACTCAGACTGGCATCCATATGGGATGCTGGCATTGCAGGCGATGGCTTAACCCGCTGCACTGCCCAGGAAATAGAAAGTCTGGATGATCAGTCTTGCAAGGAAGAAAATAAAAACTACCAAAAGGGATGGATGTGTGGCCCAGCAAGTTTAGCTACTGCTCAGGGCGCTCATACTCACGGCAGAGCACTGGTTCAAGTCCTGACTACTCTGCCTCTGATCCAGCTCATTGTCAGTGCACCTGGGAAGCAGTGGCTGATGGCCCGAGTACTGGAGTCCTTGCCGCCCACAAGGGAGACCTGGATGGAATTCTTGTCTCCTGGCCTCAAACCTGGCCTGGCCCCAGCTGTTAGGCAATCATTTGGGGAGTGAACCAGCAGATGGAAGACCTTTCTCTCTGTCTCTCCCTCTCTCTGTCTGCAATTCTGCCTCTCAAATAAATAAAATCTTTAATAAACTTTAAAAAAATAAAAATGACGAACCCCCAACTTTAGAATTTAGAGCATTTAGAACAGCCTTGTTCATATCAGTGTATGTAGTTCTTGGAAGGTGTTGTTTCATTGCCACTGCTACAGCTCAGTGTGACCGGAACCTCACACCAGTGGTGGAGGAGACAGCAACACTTGGAAGGTAGATTCCTTCTAAGGTTTATCCTAAGCTGGCAAAGCTGCACCAATTCGTCCAAACGTGGACTAAGGGATGCGTCTCTGCTTGCCAAATCCACTCACTCGGCAGCTCCACCCACTGGTCCTTTGTCTCCTTCCGTGTGCTGAGCTCACAGGCCATGTGACCAGTGGGGACAGTTCTCCCTGCATGCCGGGGCTGACCCCTGCCCAGTGTCAGAAAGGGAACCCAGAGCACAGGCAGTTGAGTCCCCAGGAAAAATGGCTTGGGGCCCAAGATCAGCTGTGCCCGTTGGGTCGGGAGCTGTGCTGAGGTGGAGTCGAGCAGCCTGAAGAGGAAAGCGGGTTGGCATGCTGGCAGGTGGCAGGGCAGAACCCGTGTCAGGGGCAGAGCAGGGCTAGGCTGGGGAGAGATGTTGGGATCTGGGAGAACGGGCAGATCCAAGACCAGACCTGAGTCGCATGGGGCCTCAGGCAGGGACCTCCTCCCCATAGTGGAGCTGCGGATTTTGCTTGCTCGGTTCTTTGCCAAGTTGCAAGGTCACCTACAACGACTTTCAGCCTGGTGGATAACATGAGTAAGGACTTGTGTAAATGACAAGGCAGGGGGAGACAAGTGACACCATGTGAAGCCACGCCCATAAGGCCCTCTGGGACATGGTGGGGTGGAGCTTGGTGGTCAGGGCCTACCCTCTCCCCCTGTTGGGAATCCTCCCACTACTACGTGGACAGGCCTGGGTTGGCCGGTGGGGCGATGAGTGATTCAGCTGAGGAGGAACCAGCCACTGTGGGTTGAAGTGAGGTTGCCCCTGATCATCCAGCTCTGGTGTAGACCAGGAAAAACCACTCAGCCGGCACGCAGGGCCGTGAAAACACAGGAACTCATTGTGTTAAGCCTCTAAATTTTGAGAGTGGCTTGTTGTAAAGAAAAAGCTATACATTTAGCTGCCACATTTTTAAAAAATGCGTTTGAGAGGGAGAAGGTAAGAGAGGGCAACAGCTCCCACATGAGGCTTCACTCCGCAGAGGCCTGGAGCAGGGGCTGCAATCCAGGCCGCCCCTGGCCGGGGATTTGGGGGGGGGGGCAGGAATCTACCAGTTGAGCCATCACCACTTCCTCCCAGAATCAGGGCTGGAAGGAAGCTCCAGTGAGGAGCCTGAGCCAGGAATTGAACCCAGGTCCTCCCGTGTGGGATGTGGTTAGCTTAACCACCAGGCCAAATGCCCGGCCCGCCACCACACTCGGGAGGACTGGTGGAAAGCCGGAGTTTACCTAACAGGAGGCAGTAATCGGAAAACGCCCCTCGGTGGTGGCTGGGTCTGTAGGGCGGGGTGGGTTTTGTGAGGAAGTCCAGTGATAGTGGCTAGCGTTCTGCCAGTGTCGCCGTGGGCCACCGTGGAGCTGAGTTCTTGCCTAGGGCATTTCAATGACTACTTGCAGCAAGCCTAGGAGGAAAGACCCTGCTACTCTTTACCTTGTAACAGACAGGCTCGGGGACACGGTTGCCCCTTTGCAAGACCAGTAACTAGGAAGAGAGACCTTGGGCTATAAACTCTGCCCTGGCAAACTGCAGAACCGGTGCTCTCCCACTCCGGCTCCAGCTCCAGGGCCTCTAGCTTAGGAGCGTCCCCACACGGCAGGTTCACAGATTGAGACGGAAGAGCCCGCGTGGCTGCCTCTCTCCCTCACGGGACATCTCTGAGTTCTGCATACACAGCGAGCCCACGCATTGGTTCTGCCACCTGTTGAGCCCCAATAAATGGCAGCAAAAAAGACCAAATTAAACTCAAAAGTAAGCAGAAGAAAGAAATAGTGAAACAGGAGACAAAAGCAAGAGGCAATCCATAAAACCCAAACCTGAGCAGAACGTCTACAGTCTACCGATATTTGAAAGGAATATTCTGATCCACCTTAGGCTGACGAATTAAAAAACGTAGATGAAGTGAGTAAGTTCTAGGGAAGTTCACTCAAGAAGTAGTAACTTCGACCTGCGGGTAATATCATGTATGTATGCATGTGTGTTATATCATTCAAAGGTTATTTGCTTGGTTTGTTAACTATTTCCATCCTAAAACAATAAAAGTTAAAAACTGACTTGAGGGGTGGGCGTTTGCCTCCAGCCCTTCTTGTCGTGCCTGGATTTGCGTCCCCACTCTGCTTCCAGTCCAGCTTCCTGCTCATGCTTCCCCCGGGGGAAAGTAGCTGGTGGCTCAGGCAGTCGGCTCTCTGCCATCCTCATAGGAAACTCGCATGGAGCTCCAGGCTCCTTGTTGTGGCTTGGCCCGGCCCTGGCTATTGAGTCATTTGGGGAGTGAACCCAGTGGCTCGAAGATTTCTCTCTCTTTCTCTCTGCCTTTCAAATAAACAAGTAAATAACACTTTAAATACAAAACTGACTTGAGTGAACAGTCTTTTGTCTCTGCTTCTTAGAAACTGTTCAGGCATCTATTGTTACTTTTTAAAGATTTATTTATTTATTTGAAAGACAGAGTTACAGAGAGGCAGAGGCAGAGAGAGAGAGGTTTTCTATTCACTGATTCATCCCCCAGATGGCCAGAGCTGTGCTGATCTGAAGCCAGGAGCCAGGAGCTTCTTCAGGTCTCCCATGTGGGTGTGGGGGCCCAAGCACTTGGGCCATGTTCTCCTGCTTTCCCAGGCATATTAGCAGGGAGCTGGCTCAGAAGTGGAGCAGCCGGGACTCGAACCAGCGTCCATATGGAATGCTGGCACTGCAGGCATTGGCTTCACCCACTATGCCACAGTGCTGGCCTCTCCGTTGATTATTAATGGACATTATCAATTTTTAAGGGCTTGAAGGTAAGGACTTGAAAACTGCATATGAACAGCAGCATTCTAAGAATTAAAAAAAAATTTAACCGTTGAATATTATTACCATTCCATCTAATTGAATACAGCCATATATAAAATTATAACCAATTTTAAACAGGTTTTGGGAACAGTTGTAACATAAAACCAATATAACTAACTTAGAAAGTTGAAATCATGATCAATTTGATCTTAGTTTTATATATACCAGAATTTGTGCTGCCATTTTTAGATGATAAACTAGTTCTTTTTTAGAGAATTTAATTAGTTAATTAATGCATTTGAGACAGGGGGAGGGAGCTCCCATGTGCAAGTTCACTCCCCTTAAGCCTGCAGTCGCAGGGGTCTCCCGCGTGGATAGCAGAGACCCAGCTACGTGAGCCGTGAGCCGCTCCCTCTGCTTCCATCAGCGGGAAGCTGGAGTCGGGAGCCTGAGCTGGGTATTGGAGCTCCGGGACTCTGCTGTGAGAAGTGGTTTTTCCAACCAACATCTTAACTGCTGGCCAAGTGCCTGTCCCTGGTAAACTAAGTCTTAAAGTTTGTGAAGCAAATGCAAAACTCTTCTTTAGCTTGGAATTAAGCCACTCCCCCTTTTTTCTTATGTTGTGCTTAAAGTAAAAAAAAAAAGGCATCTATGTAAATACACTTTGAGTAGCCACATAAAAGAAATACAAACGATGACTTTTCCTTTCAGGCGTTCTTGACTGTGTAGCTGAACTTGATACTCCTAGAAGGTGCAAGGAAGGACTGAATGGCTTGTGATCAATTAATCTTTAAAATATGAAAGAGGAAAAAAGGAAGGGGGGCTCAGGAAAAGCAAAGGAGCGGGCCACAGGTCGGCAGCCCGAGACGGTCTCGGTGAAGGCCAGCTGTGCACCTTCTCCAGGCGAGTGGAGTTCAGCTGTGGAAAACCCGTCCTGACAAATCCACGCATGAAAGGGAGGCTGCCACCTGGTTGAGACAATGCTCAAGTTCCTGATGACATTAACAAGCACAAGGAAGAAAGCCGACACTTACCCGTCCTTGGAGCGCGGAAAGGAGAAAGGTGCCTTCTACGTGAAATACAGTGATCCCAGATAAATAAGCAAGGGAGGAGAATTTGACACAGTGGTTTGGACTCTGCTCGGGATGCCTGCATCCCAGATTTGAGCTCTTGGTCCAAGTTCCGGCTCTGCTTCTAATTGCAGCTTCCTGATCATGCACGCCTTGGGAGGAGTAGGTGGGGGCCCAAGTACTTGGGTCCTTGGCCACCTGGCTGTGGCCTGGCCCGGCCCTGATTGTTGTGGGCGTTTGGGAGTGAACCAGTGGACAGAAGATCTCTGCCTTTTCTTTCTCTCTGCCTTTCGAGTAAATTTGAAAATCAGATAATCGCCTCGTTAGGATTTCCCTCTTTTTCTTTACTTCTCTGTTCGTGTCGGAAGTTCCCGAGGCAGCTGCCGCAGGTGCCGTGTGTCCCTGGTGAGAGCTGCAGATCATGCCGGTGAGGGAAGGCGATGCCCGAACACGGGCCTGGAGGAGCTGCAGCTGCAGGTTAAGACCCCATGGGAGTGCCAGTGGCCCAGCAGGGTGGTCCATGTGCAAACTTGGGTCAGCTGGCAGTGAGCAGGAGCCGGGTGGGCAAGAGCAGGCCAAGCAGTCCCCAGGGACACGAAGAGACGGCTGAGGAAGATGTCCTTGGGAGGTGTCAGGGTGCTGACTCGAGACCAGGGGGGCACAGAGGATGCCCTCTTAAGAGCCCTTCCGAGCTCCTCGTCCCGTGGGACTGGCGGAAGGGCATGGTGGGTCAGTGGCTGGCCTCTTCCAGTGGACACTGCAGGCAGACACTCGGGCACTGGGTGAGCGGATGGCCACAGATGCTCAAGTTCACGGGGAAATGCTACACAGCTGTTGGGCCCACCAACCCCTCCACGGGGACCATGGGAACAGTGCCCGCTGTGTGACCAGGAGGGTTGAGACCCTCTGTCTGTGTTGCTCTGCAGCCCCTACTTTTCTCATTTTTTAAAATAAAATTTACTTGATTTTCTATAAACCTTCAAGCCTTGCTTACTACACGGTCAAAATCATCAAATAACCATTTAAAATTCTGCCCGAAAATCCACGTCCAAAACAGTACCAACAACACAAAGATGTAAGCTAACAGCTTTATGTGTTCACAACTCAAGATGTGAGGGCTTTCAGATGAGGAGAACGCAGGTGTTGTCACCCATTTGAGATTGGGGTTTGGGACTCTAGCGAAACACGATTCATCAAACACACGTGTTTCTCGCCTGTCCGCCCAACCTTTCACTTAACGTGAAAGAAGCGTAACTGCTGAGCAGGATTAGCAGGGCGGGGAGTGCAGCCATGCAACCAGAAGTCAACAGACCTTTGCAAGGGCGGAGGAGAGGTGCCTGCCTCAGCAGAGCTCTGAGCGCCGCCGGCCTCCGAGTCCGCAGAGAGGAGAGGGGAGCCGAGCCAGTGCTGCCCAGAAAGCCTGGAAGCCTGGGGACGCGGACACCGAATTCAACCGGAAAGTGGGGGTGAGTCACGGAACCGGAACGCAGGGGATTGGGTCAAAGGCGGGGTAATTCCACCCCCTCCTCTCATCCCTACCCCTCTGTCACTTCCTGGAGAAACTGAACTTGGGGACATCGGAGCTCAGGACCCGAGTGGCGTGAGATGCAGCGATGACCTGGATCTGCAAACAGAGTAGAACTTCCTCCTCCAGGGCCCTCCTCCAGGGCCCTCGGCCTGGCAACCACTGCTGCTGCCTCGTGTGCCAGGAATTGTGTCAGCGAGACACTGCCCCCAGGTGGGAGAGGGCAGCGTCCCGCTCTGGGGAGAGGGGAGGGTTCCACATACCGCACGTCGGTGCCTCCCCACACCAGTCAGTTAACTCTGCAGTGAAAGGGACCCCGGCCCCGCACAAAGAGCCTCCAATTCAAACCCTTAATCTTAAATAGAACCTGACCAGAAAACCAAAGGTCACCAGATACTTAAGCAAAGCCTTATGTAGTGATATTGATGCAGATGCCGAAAATTACACTGTAACTCTAAAGACTGTTTTCATGTGCTTACTGTCCATTTGCACAGCATCTTGCGAGAAATGTCTATGCAGCTCCATTACTTGCTTTTAATTGGGCTGTCTGTTGACATGTAGGAGGTTTTTTTTTTGTTGTTGTTAGATTAGATTATTTATTTGAAAGGCAGGGCTACAGAAAGACGTCTTCCATTAGCTGGTAGCTGGTTCACTCCCCAAATGGCCTCAATGGCTAGAGTTGGGTTTATCCAAAGCCAGGAGCTTCTTCAGAGTCTCCCATGTGGGTGCAGGGGCCCAAGAACTTGGGCCATCCTCCACTGCTTAGGTGCTTTAACAGGGAGCTGGTTCAGAAGTGGAGCGGCCAGGACTCACTCCAGTGCCTACACAGGACACTGGTGCTCTGGTCGGCGGCCTAACCTTCCGACAGTTAAGTGGTGGAACCGACACAAGCGTTAGATTTAAAGAGCCAGAAGCTGCTACCTCCGGAGAGCAGGAGTGAGAAGCAAAACAGGATAGGCTGAGGGAACACTGGGTTTTGTTAAAAGGAGCCTTTTCAAATACTTTATTTGAAAGGGGGAGAGAGAGACAGGAGAGAGATCTTCCATCTACTGTTTCACTCCCCAAAGGGCCACAAAAGCCAGGTCTGGGCCAGGCTGGAGCCAGGAGCCAGGAACTCCGTTTGGGTCTCCCACATGGGTGCAGGAGCCCAAGGACCTGAGCCATCTTATGCTGCTTTCCCAGGTGCTTTAGCAGGAAGCTGAATTAGAACCAGTGCTCCAAGGTGGGATGCTGGCTTCACAGGCAGCAGGTTAACCTACTGTGACACAACACCGGCTCCAAAAGGAGCCTTTCAAAGCTTTTATTTTATTTTATTTTTTAAAGATTTATTTATTTGAAAGTCAGAGTTAGAGAGAGGTCCTCCATTTGCTGGCTCACTCCCCAACTGGCTGCAACAGCCAGAGCTGCACCCATCCAAAGCCAGGAGCCAGGAGCTTCTTCCAGGTCTCCCAAGTGGGTGCAGGGGCCCAAGGACTTGGGCCATCTTCTACTGCCTTTATAGGCTGTAGCAGAGAGCTGGATTGGAAGTGGAGCAGCCAGGTCTTGAACTGGCGCCCATATGGGATGCCGGTGCTTCAGACCAGGGCATTAATCCGCTGCGCCACAGCGTCGGCCCTGCAAAGCTTTTATTTTAAAAAGCAATTTATAAATACTTCACAAAACAAAAAACCCCACCAAATTAATTTATAAAAATAAAGCCAGAAACCCACAAAAATGCTCAACCACATTTCCCTCTTGCATGCATCTCCTCCATCAGCCTCCCCAAGGGTAGGAGCCATTTCTTCTGCATCAGCTCTGTCTTCCCTCTTCTCCTCGGAGCCCCACGCAGGCCGGGGCGGGGAGACACTCAGGAAGGGAGCTGAGCCACCGGCCCGCTCTCATCCAGCAGCCGCTCCTCCTTCCCACGTGTCCAGCCTAGTGGGTCTGTGCTGACGCATGTACCGCTTCAGTCCCGAGCGTCTGGCCCGGCTCCAGGGCCTCTGCGCTCACTGCTTGAAGAAGCCAGGGGAACGCCTGCATGAGCGCATTCCCGTGCAGTGTGCGAAAGGCGGTGAAATCACCGTGGCTTCCTGGGGGGAGCAGACCGCTGTGCCGCCCAAGCCCAGCCAGAAGAGGCAGCCGGGCACGTGAGCAGAAACGGGTCCTCCAGAATGCAGAGTCCTTGCATGGCACCCCACCCGCGGGCGCTGCCGTTGGAGGATGGTGTTATCTGGTCCGTTGGCTTCCAGCACTGTCGGGTTGCATCTGGAAGCCCAGCTGGCTCTGTGTGGGCGGGGGCTGCCGTGGGAAGTGTGAGTCCCCTGCCTGGGGTGCTGGATAACGCATTGGCAGGGACCTTGTGGAGGTGGGGAGGACGACTCCAAGCCCGAGCCCGAGATGCCGTGAGTCTTTGGTGCCCATTGTCCCTTGGACGCTGTCAGATGTATGCAAGCCAATGTGGGTTTCGCAAGGCAGCTTCTGAGGGCAGTGATGCAAGCTCACGCAGCAGAACGCTGTGGCTGGGGAGACGGACCCTCGGCTGCGGGGGCTGCCGCGGGGCCTGACTCAGGCTTCACAGCCCCTGCCAGCGGTACAGAGGGAAGCGGCGGCGTCATCTGCCCTCCTCCTCCCTCCGCTCTTCCCTGGGGGCAGCGTCTGGTCTGCAGCCTTTTTCTCCTTCGTGCCACAGAACCCCCCTGGGAAATCTCAACCGCACCCCCTGGCTTCAAGCCCCATGATAAGTCATACCTCTGTGCCTGGAGCCTTGACCAGCGTCCCTAAGCTCCACAAACACCATGCACCCCGACCGGGAAGCTTTCTCCAGCCTTCCCGATCGGCCACCCCCTCCACCTCCCTCATCAGCCCGCTTCCACCTGGCGTCCAAGGCCGCGTGGTCTGCCCACCATGCCTCTTGCGGTCAGTGCTTTTTACATTCCGGCTCTGTTACCCTCAACTCTTTGCCCATTTGCAGGGCATCAGTGCCCAGTCTGGCGATCATCTCCTCGCCTTAAGCCTGCTCTTCTCACCTCCACGGCCCACCCCACTGCCCACCCCACTGCCACACAGCGTTTTTCAACCAATGTGGGACTCCACCTCCTCCAGGTGGGCACCTCCCCCACCCAAGACAGACAAGCATAAAATGCAAAAAGACTGGCAATACCGTGCGTTAGCAGGGATGCAGGGCAACTGTGACACTGGTGCACTCCTGTTGGGGGTGAAAATGGGTAAACTGGACTTGGAAAACCCACAGTGTCTACCAAACTAGTCGTATATACACACACCGCATAGACACGCATGGGCCAGCAGTTCCCCTCCTGGGTGCGCAGCCAACCTGTATCCACAGCGTCTGCTGGGCTCGGCCCCAAGACCCCTCCTGGATACCCGCATCCAGGGACGCTCCAGTCCCTTACGTAAATGGCACAGTGTTTGCACACTTTAAAGCATCCCTAAATTACTTACAATTCCAAGTACAATGTGAATGCTATGGAGATAGCTGTGACGCTGTATTGTTTAGGGAAGAATGACAGGGGAAAAAAAAAGTCTGTGCATGTTCGGTACATATGCGGGTTTTCCCTCAAATATTTTCAACACGTGGTTGGTCAAGTCTGCAGATTCGGGGCCTGTAGGACGGGGCGCCAAGCTGGCCACACACCCACAGGGGCAGCAAAAGGCAGGTGCAGGAAGCTTAGCAGCCCCAATGTGGAAGCTGCACCTTGCACACCGACATCATCGTGCGACCCTTCTCAAGGACGTGAGTCAGCAATGAGCAGGGACAAACCACTCTCAGGTCTCGCAGCCCAGGGGAGTCTCACAGATGTGTTGAGTAAAGGAAGCCGCGCGTGATACCATAGGAAAAGCCGATGTGCAGCGTCTGGCACGACAGTCATTCTCTTGTGTGCAGGTAGCTCCTGAAAGGGGGCCATGGTGGGTTTCTGGTGTCCTGGTAATGACCTCTTCCTTCCTTTGTTTTTTGAAGATTTATTTGAAAGGCAGAGTTAGAGAAATCTTCCATCTGCCGGTTCACTCCCCCAAATGGCCACAATGACTGGAGCTGGGCTGAGCTGAAGCCAGGAGCCAGGAGCTTCTTCCGGGTCTCCCAAGTGGATGCAGGGGCCCGAGCACTTGGGCCATCTTCCGCTGCTTTCCCAGATGCATTAGCAGGGAGCTGGATCGCAAGTGGAGCAGCTGGGACTCACCCGGGCTCATATGGGATGCCAGCACTGCAGGTGGCAGCTTTACCTGCTATGCCATAGCGGCGGCCCCCTTGATTTCTTTCTGGGTGCTGTGTACGTAGGTTTGGCTCATTTGTGGATAACTTTGCACTTTTCTGTATAGGTGTTATACTTCAATAACTGATAACACACCTAACCCCCCCTCAGCACACACAGCAAAATGAAATCTCTTCCAAGGTTTCTCACACCC